CACTCACAGCACTGATTCTGCACCCTCTGCACCTACACCCAACCCATCTACCCGATTCCCAGACCTAAACCCATGCTTCCCACAGCCACGTGACGGCCACCCCCACTGCCCAACTCTGTCCAGCCAAGTCATTCCCCCAGAGCTCTCTTCTTCCTGGCCTTCAGTACCAATTAAGTAGAAAGGTAAGGCTGAGGTTGTAGCAGCAGGGTTTGGTCACTGCCCAACAACCAGCCTCACTAATGGGACACTGATTTTGTTCAGATATTAGATAACTCAAAAGTCCAGGCCCAGAGGCTGAGTTGTGACAATTGGTTTCTTCTTTGCTCATAATTGGTGTAGGGTTGGCAGGTGACCCAGGTCTGTCAAAGGAAGTCTTCTGGGGGAATTCTGGAAAAGAGTTTTCTCTCTGATAAAAAGGAGGCTTGCAAAGAGAGGTCTGCCCTTTTCTGCTTTGGAAGTGGTTGAGCAATGACAATTTTGGAGCTCCTACAAGCCATTAATGTGACCATGGGGGTTGGGGATAAGAGAGGGAGGAAGGAGACTCACAGAGATGCCAACCGAGAGCCAAACCTAGAATTACCAAACCAACACCCTACTTCAGATGTCTTATTATATGGGGCGGGGTTGGGGAGAGGATTCCTCTTAAAGAAGTCAGTGTAATGGGTATCTTGTGGCTGGGAGCTGAAACTTGTTGATAGAGAATAAAGCCTCCAATTCCTGAAGCAAAAAAGACCATGAGAGAACATTTAGACTTTCACCTGGTCTCTAGGTAGGACACCTATCTAACCCAACCTGGACAGATATGCACCTGAACTCTCCATGATGGTAAATTCATGAGCTTCCTGGCTCTTCCTCTAACACTTCCTCCTCCTCATCACTCCAGGGGGACTCACCTAGGGCTGGAGGGTCTTGCTCCCCCCAAGGACATTCCAGCAAAGAGGGCCCATCCCATCACTCCAAGTTCCTTCCTTTGGTGTGGGGTGGTGGTCAAGAGAAGGAACTCTGGAGTCTCACAATATACACGTAGGCAAGTTATTTCTGTGTCTCAGTTTCTTCATCTGACCTGGGGATAATATTGCCTAGTTCACATGGTTAATGTGAAGATAATAAGGATGAGTGGTCAAGTGACACTGTGTTGTGGGTCCCCAAGACCACTCTCAGGTTCAACAATTCTCTAGAAGAACTTACAGAACTAAGTAAAGCTGTTATACTACTCGTGGTTACAGTTTGTTGCAGCTAAAGGATGCAGATTAAGATCAGCAAAGGGAAAAGGCACATAAGACAGAGTAAAGGAGAGACCAGGCACAAGTTTCCAGCTGTCCTCCCCAGGGCAGGTGTATGGACAATGCTTAATTTTCCCAGAAACAATGTATGACAACACATATAGAGTATTATAACCAAGGAAGCTCCCCTGAGTCTTGGTGTTCAGGGCTTTTGTTGGTGGTTTATCACATAGGCATGGAGCACCTGTGTGGCTGACCTTAGTCATTCAGTCTCCAGCTCCTCCAGAGGTCAGCATGACCAGGACCCTCTGCATAAATAACATTATTAACATAAACTATGTGGTGGGGCCCAAGTCCTCTGGTAAACAAAGACACTTTATCAGGCAGCATATTGCAAGGGCTTAGAGATTATCTCCCAGGAGTCGGTCAAGGGTCAGACCTTTCTTTGAAATGTGCAGGGTTGTCAAAGATATTCTTATCCCAGATCTGCTGAGTCAACCCTTTAATAAACACCCTGTTATTTTTGTTTCTTAAATAGGGCTGAAATCTGCTGCCTGCTAGAGCCTATCCTTTGTCACTAGTACTATCCTATAGAATCATATGGCTCCAGTCTAACCTTCTGTCCTCACTGCTGAGGGGAGTTCCTACTTCCCATTCCTCTTTCATTATGGAAGCACCTCCACTCAAGTAGCATTCCTGGGCAATCCATCCCCTCACTTAACTCTTCTCCAGGAAAGAGGGTGACTTTTTGATTGGTGGGTTTGGGAGAAAGATCAGGTCTTGTGCAGCACACCCCTCCCTCTCTCCCAAGCTGTCCCTCTACAGACTGGCCACACCATGCTTTTACAGCAGCAGCCCTTTGAGGGCCTGCAGCTGCCCACCACTGCCGGCACTGTGCCTGGAGACCATGTCAGGTTCAGGGATGAAGTCTTAGCCAGCCTGTGTGGCTAACAGACCCAGAGCCTAAACCACCACCCTGAGCAGGTTTGTCAGCAATCAAGGTGGAATCTTGTCTCTGCTTGCCAGTCTCTTCTGTTTATCCCTCAAATGGTTCCTAACACAGGCAGGGGAAAGAGGGGTGACATTTATTAGCCCCCTCAATCCCCAAAACACAATCAGTCCTTCTGCTGTTTGGAAAGTTATGATCAGGTCTTCCCTCAGAATGTCTCCTCCCAAGGACCCCAGGTCTTTCAACCATGGCCCCTCCTCAGGATTCCCTGGCTTGTCTCTATCCTCTGGACACACGCCAGGTGGTCTCAGACCCTCTTAAAATATCGAGCCAGAACTAACACAGACAACTCCCAGATGTGGTCTAAGCGCATCAGTCTCTCCTCTCTTCTCAGAATCCCCACGAACACCATCACTCCCCGGCAGCTGCATTACATGACGAACCCATAGTTGACTCAAATCTTTTTTCTTATGAACAGCAATAGATCCAGTTTCGTCTGCATAAGGCAGAGGAAGATTTTTAAGCCTCTTCTTATAGTTAGCCAATCAAGTTCTTCTCAGATGCATATGCATACCCAGACAGGCAGGCATCCCCTGCAAAGTTTAGGGTATAGGAGTCTCCCCCACAAAATAATCCTTTCTCCCAGAGCAAGCCTCGCCAATTTCAGTACTCTATTTTGTTCACTCAGTGTGTTTATCAGACATCCATAAGGCTTCCAAAAATACTACATAGTAGTTAAGAGCAGAGACTCTAAAGTTAGACACTTCTAGATTCAACTCTACTATTTACCAGCTTTGTGACCTTGGGCAAGTTACTTACCTGCTCTGAGCTTTGATTTCCTCAGAATCTTAAAGTGAAGTTTATAATAGAACGTACTTTCATGGTGCCTGGAATACGTCATGTTCTTGATAACTGTAAGCTATTATATTAGTAACATTAATATTGCTAGTGTACCCATTATTATTATTTCAGCTAAACCTTCTAAAGGAGAAACTGCCTAAAATTAGAGGAGGGATGCAGCCCTGGAGAGTACATGGTTGACAGATGGTGGTATGGTTTGAATGTTTGTCCCCTCCAAAACTCATGTTGAAATTTAATCCCTAATGTGGCAGTATTTAGAGGAAGGGCCTTTAAGAGATGACTGGGTCATAAGGGCTCTGCCCTCAGGAATGTATTGATTCATTCATGGATTAATGGATTAATGGGTTAATAGATTGATGGGTTATCAAAGGAATGGGACTGGTGGCTTTATAAGAAGAAGAGAGACCTGAGGGAGGATGCTCAGCCCTCGGCCTGTGATGCCTTTCACCACGTTATGGCACAGCACAAGGTCCTCACCAGAAGCCGACCAGATGTGGCCCCTTGACCTTGGACTTCCCAGTCTCCAAAACTGTAAGAAATAAATTTCATTTCCTTATAAATAAACCAACTTTAGGTATTCTATTACAAGCAACAGAAAACAGACTAAGACAGATGGATGTTGTAATTAACCATGGGTCACGGGGTCCTTTTGTGAAGTTCACCTTGGGGGTTCCAGATGTTCAAATCTTGTTTGGAAAGATTCTATGAAAGAAAGAGGAGAGAGGACGAGGCTGTTTTTAGACAGAGGGTATGGAACAGGCTGTAATAGTCAGGAGCAATCCTGAGCTGGAAAGACAGACCCAACTCTGCTCAGGCACTGGCTCTGGTCTCCAGGCACCTAGCTTCTTCTGTTTAGAGGAGAAACCCTGCTGCCTGGGAACATTTAGGGGGAACCAGAGAGAGGATATGTGAATCGATGAAACAGAAGGCTAATTGGAAATAAAAGGTACAGTGACAGCTAATGAACCCCCAAATCACCTATGTGACAACCTCAACCCTCCAGAAGGACAGGACCATGAACAGCCTGCTGTGGTTCTAAAACTGGGGAGGTGGGGATTTGGGGGGCAGCAAGATGATGAAGGAGCACAGGTGATCTAGACTTGAACCACAGTCTTGCACTTACTAGTGTGGAGACCTTGAGCACAGGACTTACCTTCCTGCAGCCAGTCCCCCACCCCCACCCCCTGTACCATGGGAAAACATTGCTCACCTCCAAAGGTGCTTAGGGAGTAGGTGGGATGGCATGTGTGCATGGCCTGATGAAGGGAATGGGCACCATAACAACATTTTTGCTCCATGGGTCAAACATGGAAACCAGTTTCACCACATTCTAGTCCCATCATCAGTGCGCTAGAGCTCAGAGAGTTCCAACCGTCAGAGTCCTAATAAGCCCTGTCAATGTGATTGGCCAGTCTACAGACTAGATGGAAGCAGAGGTGGGCAAAGGCAGCAAAGAAAAGTGAGAGATGGCAGTCTAACAGCGAGAGCAGACAGAAAAGCCCAACAGGTGAGAATAACAAGTACAAAAGCAGAGGAACCTGGGGCCGTTTTAGTGCATGGGCAAACGACGCACCCCTCTAAGTGGGCCATGCATTCAGTGACAAATCCTGAGAGTCTTGAGTCATTAAAAGAAAGGCAAATCAGTTCAACACAACCAGCTTAAAAATATACAAAAAAAAAAATGTTATACATTTGAGCAATATCGCCATCACAAACAGGAAAACAGTTCAAGGTGAAAGTTACAGGTGTCTGTCTTAGTATTGGGATGCCTCCATCCTTGATGCTGGACAAATGGAACTTCACCCCCCAAAATATTGAAGTCTTGGCACCTCTCAGCAAGGTGTTATTTAGGTAGAGGAAAAGCAACAGAAATGGGGACAAGGAAGCAAGTGGGTGGGGACTTAGGGTTTGTCCTTCCGTTTCAAAAATTCTTCTACTTGGGAATTGGCCGGTGCAGCCCAGGAGGCTCAGTCTACCTGGCTCTTCTTGGCGACGCGGCTCCGGCCCAGCAGCAGGTACTCCAGCCACTTGCAGTGCTCCCGGAGCTGCTTCTCGCGTGGCAGCAGGAAGGTGAGGACCTTGTTGCGCACGATGCCCCGGTCCTCCTCCTCCCTCAGCCGCTGCTTCACGCGGGCCGCCTGCTCCTCCTGCTGCGCCAGGGCTCCGTTCATCTCGCAGAAGGCGTCCTCCAGGAAACGGATGGCCTTCAGCGCCTCCTTCTTAAAGTCCTCCAGCTCCCGTTGCACCCCGGCCACCTTCTGCTGCAGGATCTCCAGCTCGGCCGGCGGTGGGAGGCAGGAGGGCCACGACTGGGAGAGGGACAAGTCTCCAGACTGGAGGCCGCTCTCCACCATTTTCTTTCCTTGTAAGGTATTCACCTTCATGAGAATGGACCCAGTCTGATAGAGGGGTTCCATCGTCTCTCTCTTCCTGGTTGGACAAAGAAGGGAACCAGGAGATCAGCCAGGTCAGTGAATTCTTTCAACTAGAGACACACTCATTTGGAGTGGAGAAACCTACACATTGTGACGTCAGTACCCTCTCAGCCAACCAGGAGGAAAGCCACAATCCATTCATTTGCATATTGTAGCCTCCTTGGCTGCTCACCTAGAGCTTTGTCTGCTCATGTACCCAAGTTACCCTTCCAGATGGAAGGTGTATTCTTCCTTTCACTGATTGAAGACATATTTATTGAGAACCTACTATGAGCCTGACACACATAAGGTGGATTCTGGATAAGAATCCAGGTGAATGCTTATCACCTTTCCAGAACCAGAGTGGAGCTCTCCTTTAACCTGGGGGACAAACAAGTCCCAGAGCAGGGAGTAGTACATGGGCCCGAGCAAGGCAGGCCAGGCCAGGCTCACTGGCTGCAAAGACTGGTCTCCCACCCTAGCAAGGGGCCTGGATGGCCTCAGAATGGTCTTTGGGCTTCAGTACCTCACCAGTAAAATAATGGCATTGTGAGAGATAATGCCTAATACTACTTCTCACTCTGAAATGATAAAAGAGTAATTTCTGATTCCAATCCATACTCTAAAAGGAAGCCAGGATTCTAGACAATCTTAGGAGTTGTGAGAAATGTGCTTGGGCCCACAGCAGTGGCTGATTCAGTATGTGCAGGGTAAAAATGGGTCACTCATATTTATTCAGCAAATACTCACTGAGTGCTCACTATGTACTAAGACCAGGGAACAAGTTTGAGCAAGAATGCATGGTCCCCCAACATATCTTAATATCTACAAATATGAGAAGAAACACATAGAAGGGTGAATCTTGCACTTTTTACCTGACTATTCTAACAAAGGAAAATATTTCTGTCTAGTCTACATTTGGTTTAGTCAAGGGCAAACCTCCATCTTGCAGACCTCAATTTCTTGCCCAGACCTCTTTCTTGTGCTCCAAATCTAAATGTCTCCTCCGAAAGGAGGCTTATATTCAATCCATTCAAAGCTGAATTGCTTATCTCTTCACCCAAACTGGTGTTTCTGTGGGATTAGTGACACCAACCACGGGGCAGCACCCACTCTAGTATTCACATGAGAAATCTGCTATTATGGTAGGAATGTTTGTCCCCTCCCAAACTCATGCTGAAATTTAATTGCCATTATAACACTATTAAGAGGTGGGGTCGTTTTTTTTTTTTAATTTTATTTTGTCGATATACAATGAGGTTGATTATTGTGGCCCATTACCGAAACCCCCCTCCCTCCTCCCTCTCCCCCCTCCCACCCAACAGTGTCCTTTCTCTTTGCTTGTTGTATCAACTTCAAGGAGTTGTAGTTGTTAAGTCTTCTTCCCCCCACCCTGGATTTTGTGTGTGTGTGTGTGTGTGTGTGTGTGTGTGTGTGTGT